GTGTCGGTACTGTTCATTTAAAGTCTGATGATCCTGAGAGTTGGAACAAAACTTCGTTCTATAGTAAAATTAGCAGGCGGAGTCACACTTCTACACTGTAATTCACACAGTGACCTCAAACTTAGTTGATTTCAGCTTAAAACTAAGCCTTTTTTAATGCTGCTTATCCTAGTAACAAAACATACAGAGCACAAACATTTATAAACACCTATAAAGGTGAATGGCACATAAAGCTGATTTTTGTGGGAATTTCTCCATTACTTCCGTTGTCCCACAAAAGCTGCTTAGACTTCAATAACTTAATATCAATATTTTATAAGTCCCAGTCTCTGCAATCACACAGACATTTTGTTTGTTGTTTTTGACAGAAGAGGCCCTCATTAGCCATTTCTCAGGGTCCAAGTGAAGTTAGACTTTGTGGTTCCTTGCCTGTGGAAACTGTTCCAGGGGCTCAAAGCACCAAACTTGACTCCCTGTCAGAACGACTCACACATGCACGTGGATGCAACTCCACATTTATGGAAGTGCCGTTTTTCTTCTGAAGTCTTCCAGATAGTTTTAGTTTTGGGTGAAATGCGTCTTCGTGGTCTGTGAAGGAGAGTTTCTGGGTTGTTTTTTTTTGTGACTCCCTCTAATTTTAGTAGCTACCTTAAAACGCTGCCTGTGTTACGCACGTATTTGGTATTTGACAAACTGACGTCGTGTCAGTCTCTTCCTGTCAGTGGAACTTTTAAATGTATTAAGAGACACTTATTTTAAAGCTCTGAGCCAAGCTGTGACAGAAGGCAGAGAGACGCTGCTTGTTTCCAGATGAAAACAGAATAAAATTCTGCCATGAATTCTGTAGGTTTAAATGTAGCTGCACAGTAGTGTTCTCTCAGTAGATGTCTTCTTTTTACCTCTTATTGTAAAGTAACTTAGTAAATAATATTTAAAAAGGATAGTTTATGTTTATTTTGTACAAAAACGATATACTGTAGATTGATGACTAACCATGTTGACCATTCCTTGTTTTGATTTGTTGTTTTGTTGGAGGGTGTGGGGGGATAGAGATGGGGTCTCTGGAATGGAAAAGGTCAGAGTTGGGTGTTGAACTGGGAAATGTTCAGTACAGTGGTGGCAGAGATCTATGAGGATAGAAAAAAGAGCTTTGGGACCGTTTACTAAGTGGGTTTCTACTGATGTTATCAGAGTCCAAAAGTCCCGGCTGTGCAGACATTGTGGAGATATTTGCAGTGATAAACAAAACAGTGTTTGCTCACTTATGCATGTAACTGAAATGATATAAGAGGTGGTGTCAACAGCTTTTATCAGAAAACCAAATCAAAGCTCTCTAAAGGTACAGAGAAAACTTAGGAGCAAGAGGGGAGAAAACTGACAGAAAGCTACAGATAAATCAATCCATTACTAGTTTTTCCTCAAACTGAGTACTACTACTACTAGTACTTCAGTTTGAGTACTAGCCACTTTTAAATGACCAAAAACACATTTTATTTAGAACAAGGTGGCTCTCCTTCCTTTTACAGCCCCTCTGACTAGGTCACATCAAATACACAGCATGATAATTAACAAAAATAACCAGTATTGGTATTGGGACATCATTAATCAGGAGGGAGGATTAAATAAATTTAGCCTACATGTGCTAATCTACATCTTTTTCTTGGGATTACCTACCCAGATAAACTCTTTAATATTCATGTTAAGCCCGTGAACCTGAAAACGTGAGGTCATTTGAAGGATTGGTAACTATATAAATTCTGAATGGGTAACAGACGTCCAAGCTAAGGTGACCAGAGACAAACGTGTTAAACATGAAGTCAAAAGTGAGTTGAGAGCAGTTCAGTGTGCATGCATGTAGCTACATATATGTTGCCTGGCGTCTCTAATTACATAGATATAAACTCATAAACTCACTGGAAGTTGACTGGTATGAGTTTTTCTATGGGTCAGTGCTGGCTTTTAAAATGGCCTGAGCTTATATAGTTTAGTTTATCAAGTCTAAAGACTCCAAAGCGCTTTACACTACAGTCATTCAATCATTCACACACTGATGGTGGTAAGCTACATTGTAGCCACAGCTGCCCCGGGGCAGACTGACAGAGGTGAGGCTGCCACACATTGGAGTCACCGGACCTTCTGACCACCACCAGCAGGCAAGGCAAGTGTGGTGTCTTGCCCAAGGACAAAACAACTGAGACAGACGTGGGGGTATGAACCTGCAACCCACCGGTTTATAGGACGAACCTCTTCCTCCTGTTGCCACAGTCGCTGTAGATTTAAAGAAAGCTGATGACCGATATACACCATTTTTTTTGTCCAATCTGTATTTCTTATTGACCAAAATCTAATTTAAAAAAATGTAGCTTTTATAGAACCTTTACAAGAACATGTGCACTTAAAAGTAATTTATAGAAAAACATTTGCACGTAAAAGATTAAACTGTGAGCTACTGTTGGCCGATTGTAGCAGCTGCTGCTACATCTTCATTTTCTTAATTGCTTATTGATTAAATACGGTCACTGTTTTAAAAGTCGGCTGATGGAATCAGTCGACCCTTTAATGGATCTGTCTCTACTTCTGGCTCCTATCAGTTAAGCCAGCAAGGCAAATCTAAATGTGTGCATGCTAAATCTACACAACTTACGGTCTGGAATGATAGAAATGAAGGCTATAATTGTAAAATAATGGCTTCTATTGAACATATAAATATTGTCAAAGTCGTTACCCTTGAAATTCTGGTGTAGCGTACTTGGCAAACCACAAGCACTTTTTTGGGCTCAAATGTACTTGAGCTGCTCCACACGAGTTTATCTTCCCTCCACGTGTTGGTTCATACTTCAAATACCTCCAGAATGTCCGGCTCCCGGTTTAATGACATCAAAAAGGACTTTCAGTGGGGACTGTGTGAGATGTGGCACTTTTTTAGAGTTGTATTTTTGGGTTTTATATTGTCTGTTCACTCCTCACCCTATTCTTTGACTGAGCTTTGGGAACATATTGGCACATGTGGAGAAATGTATACTACACAAWGCACATAAATCTGTTTTTCACTTTGTGGTACAAGTTATACCTGAGGATCTTCCAGCTACGGTTAGCTTAGCTTTGCACAAAACTAAGTTAGGACTGGGAAAGGGTCAACTCTTAGTTTCCAACAACCCAAAGGTAACTTAGTTCACATATAAGCACTTCAAAGTTTCTGTTTTTCATTCAACTTGTTCTGTCTTATTTTTTTAAAAAGTTTGTTTTCTGGCAAAGGCTCAACCAAGAGAAATTCTGGCACTTAGCATTCATGTTAGCTAACACAAATAATGAGTTCATTTTTGGATCAGTCGGGAATTTTAGAGAGTCYGGTTTTAAACCAACTTCTGATCTTTATGCTAAGCTAACAGCAAAGGTTGTAGCTTAGCGTTTAGCTGACAGACATGTAAGAGAGGTCAGTTTTTGAATGCACAGCCTTAATTAAGCACACTTTCTACAAGAGTGGACCATTCCTTAAAGGAGTTATGTAATCTTATAATTTGACTTGAAAGACATTCAGAAATACTAAAGCACAGCATTGAACTAATGTTGCACATATTCGTTGCCACGTTTGGCCTTTATTCCCACAATCAATTAAATCTCATTTAAATATATATATTTAAATTAAAACTTTAAAAAGTGCAGTTGCTCCAAAAATCCACAAGATGGAGGGATGCTGATGCTCATGGCTGAGGCTGAAAATACCCGAGAGACACAAGGATTGCAAATGCAAACTGCTCATGAAAAACAAGTAAAGATAATCAGTATTAAGCACAGYAGTGCAAATGAAACAAGCACACATTTCTAAACAGCTT